TACCCTCTTAGCATCCTTGCACGCTATGTCGCTCCTGGCCGTCACAGGAAGGAGCACATGGATGCCGCTAAGAGGGTGTTGCGCTACTTGTGCAGTACGTCGGGCATGGGGCTAGTGCTTGGAGGGCGAGACCGAGTTGTACTTACTGGACACTCAGACGCTTCTTGGGCGGACGACCAGGCTACTCAGCGGTCGTCTCAGGGTTACACCTTCAGCCTTGGCTCCGGCTCAGTTTCTTGGCGTTCTACACGCTCTTCTTCTGTTCTCAGCTCCAGTTGTGAGGCTGAGATCTACGCCACAGCCATGGCTGCCCAGGAGCTACGCTGGCTGACCTACCTGCTGACCGACTTGGGTGAGCGGCCTCGTTCTCCTCCAGTGCTGTACGCCGACAACCAGGCTGCCATTGCCTTGTGTGAGGAGCACAGACTGGAGCACAGAACGAAGCACATCGCCCTGCGGTACTTCCTTGCTCGAGAGCTGCAGCAGCGCGGTCAGCTTTGTCTGCGTTACGTGGCCACTGAGGCCAACCTTGCTGATGTGTTCACCAAGGCGCTTCCGCCTTGTGACCATCAGCGCTTCTGCACTCTGCTAGGCCTTGTGCCTACTGGACCTCACTTACTTACCTCTTGACCTTGCTTGTACTGTGATCACTATATATATATCTACCTGCATGTTTACTCTTGCTAGGTTGTGATCACTGTATCTCATGCTCTGTTATAAACCTGCATGTGAACTGGTCTTGTGACCACTAGCTTGTGCTCGGAATTTGTGTGGTATCCTTGAGATCCACCCTAAGCTTGTTGTTGCCTTGCTTTGCCTTGACTGGTCTTGTGACCCCTAGGTCTCCCCCACTTTGCCTATGGGGGTGTGTCAAACATTATATGTGTTGTGTTTGTGTAGGCTGTAGTGGGTTAGCCTATAGGGGGGTCACAACATTAGGGTTTCATATTTGTACTCACAATCCTTTCTAGTTCACCATTCCAGTCCGTTATTACTGACACGCCTTACCCTTCCAGCTCGCCAACGCCATAGCCCGAACCGTGACGTGCCCGTCGGCTGTTGTCTGTGCCTGATGAGCCACATCGACTTCGGGATACTAGCCTGAACTCGCCTTCGTCATCACAGACTCGACGTCGTTCGCGTGCCTCCGTAGAACCCTGTCGAACAGGTTACCTGGTCGACTGGTCGGATATCCAAAATCCGGATATCCGCTCGGATATCCAAAATCCGGATATCCGCTTGGATATCCAAAATCCGGATATCCGCTCGGTTATCCGTCTTTTTCTACGGATATCCAAAACACGGATATCCGCTCGGATATTCGTCTTTTTTTTTTTTGCGGATATCCAAAATCCGGATATCCGCTCGGATATCCGTCTTTTCTGCGGATATTTAAAATCTAGATATCCGTTAGGATATCCAAATTTCGGACATCCGTTCGGATATCCAAAATCCGGATATCCGTTCGGATATCCCAAGTCCGGATATCCGTTCGGATATCTTAAGTTCGGATATCCGTTCGGATATCCAAAGTCCGGATATCCGTTCAGATATCCAAAGTCCGGATATCCGTTCGGATATCCGTCTTTTCTGCGGATATCCAAAATCCGGATATCCGTTCGGATATCCAAAATCCGGATATCCGTTCGGATATCCAAAATCCGAATATCCGTTCGGATATCCAAAATCCGGATATCCGTTCGGATATCCGTCTTTTCTGCGGATATCCAAAATCCAGATATTTGTTCGGATATCCAAAATGCGGATATCCGTTCGGATATCGAAAATCCGGTTATCCGTTCGGATATCCAAAATCCGGATATCCGTTCGGATATCCAAAATCCGGATATCCGTTCGGATATCCAAAATCCGGATATCCGCTCGGATATCCGTCTTTTCCGCGGATATCCAAAATCCAGATATTTGTTCGGATATCCAAAATGCGGATATCCGTTCGGATATCCAAAATCCGGATATCTGTTCGGATATCCAAAATCCGGATATCCGTTCGGATATCCAGAATCCGGATATTCGCTCGGATATCCGTATTTTTCTGCGGATATCCAAAATCCGGATGTCCGCTCGGATATGCGTCTTTTCTGCAGATATCCAAAATCCGGATATCCGTTCAAATATCCAAATTCTGGATATCTGTTCGGATATCCAAAATCCAAGATCCCCTCGGATAACCGTCTTTTCAGCGGATATCCAAAACCCGGATATCCGTTCGGATATCCAAAATCCGGATATCCGTTCGGATATCCAAAATCCGGATATCCGTTCGGATATCCAAAATCCGGATATCCGTTCGGATATCCAAAACCCGGATATCCAAAACCCGGATATCCATATTTTCTGCGGATATCCAAAATCCGGATATCCGTTCGGATATCCAAAACCCGAAAATCTGTTCGGATATCCAAAATCCGGATATCAGTTCGGATATCCGTCTTTTCTGCGGATATCCAAAATCCGGATATCTGTTCGGATATCCAAAACCGGATATCCGTCTTTTTTGCGGATATCCAAAACCCGGATATCCGTTCGGATATCCAAAATCCGGATATCCGTTCGGATATCCAAAATCCGGATACCCGTTCGGATATCCGTCTTTTCTGCGGATATCCAGAATCCGGATATCCGTTTGGATATCCAAAATCCGATTATTCGTTCGGATATCCAAAATCCAGATATCCGTTCGGATATAAAAAATCCAGATATCCGTTCCGATATCTGTCTTTTCTGCGGATATCCAAAACTCGGATATCCGTTCGGATATCCAAAATCTGGATATCCGCTCGGATATCCAAAATCCGGATATTCGCTCGAATATCCAAAATCCGGATATCCGCTCGGATATGCGTCTTTTCTGCAGATATCCAAAATCCGGATATCCGTTCGGATATCCAAATTCCGGATATCTGTTCGGATATCCAAAATCCGGGATCCCCTCGGATATCCGTCTTTTTAGCGGATATACAAAACCCGAATATCCGATCGGATATCCAAAACCCGGATATCCGTTCGTGTCAGAATCCCAGTCACTAACCACTGGGATAAAAGGGCTTGTTTGTATAGCGGGTGAGTGCGCCCATAACCCCCCAGGCCAACATGCCTGTAACCCTTCCCTAGGATCAATCGGGGATCACCAGTGGACCTCTGACACCCCCCCGCACTGGGATGCCCGAGGTGCATACACCGGGATTCGAACCCGAGACCTTCGCTTTGATACCATGTCAGAATCCCAGTCACTAACCACTAGGATAAAAGGGCTTGTTTGTATAGCGGGTGAGTGCGCCCATAACCCCCCAGGCCAACATGCCTGTAACCCTTCCCTATGATCAATCGGGGATCACCAGTGGACCTCTGACAGTTCGGATATCCAATTCCCGGATATCCGTTCGGATATCCAATTCCCGGATATCCGTTCGGATATCCAAAATCCGGATATCCGTTCGGATATCCAAAATCCGGATATCCGTTCGGATATCCAAAACCCGGTTATCCGTTCGGATATCCAAAACCCGGTTATCCGTTCGGATATCCAAAACCCGGATATCCGTTCGGATATCCAAAATCCGGATATCCTCTCGGATATCCGTCTTTTCTGCGGATATCCAAAATCCGGATATCTGTTCCGATATCCAAATTTCGGATATCCAAAACACGGGATCCCCTCGGATCCGGATATCCAAAACTCGGATATCTGTCCGGATATCCAAAACCCGGATATCCGTTTGGATATCCAAAACCCGGATATCCGTCCGGATATCCGTCTTTTCTGCGGATATCCAAAATCCGGATATCCATCTTTTATGCGGATATCCAAAATCTGGATATCCCCTCGGACATCCTTCTTTTCTGCGGATATCCAAAATCCAGATATCCATCTTTTATGCGGACATCCAAAATCCGAATATCCGTTCGGATATCCAAATTCCGGATATCCGTTCGGATATCCAAAATCCGGGATCCCCTCAGATATCTGTCTTTTCTGCGGATATTCAAAATCTGGATATCTGGTCGGATATCCATCTTTTCAGCGGATATCAAAAATCCGGATATCCGTTCGGTTATCCGTCTTTTCTGCAGATATCCAAAATCCGGATATCCGTTCGGATATCCAAAATCTGGATATCCCCTCGGATATCTGTCTTTTCTGCGGATATCCAAAATCCGGATATCCATCTTTTATGCGGATATCCAAAATCCGGATATCCGTCATTTCTGCGGATATAAAAAATCCGGATATCCGCTCGGATATTCGTCTTTTCTGCGGATATTCAAAATCCGGATATCTGTTTTTCCAGCAAATATCCAAAATCCGAATATCCGTTCGGATATCTGTTGACGGATATCCAAAATCCGGATATCTGTTCGAATATCCGTCCTTTCTGCGGATATCCAAGATACGGATATCCGTTCGGATATTCGTCTTTTTTGTGGATATCCAAGATGCAGAAATCCGTTCGATATCCAAAATCATGATATCGGCTCGGATATCCGTGTTAGAATAACTGAACGAGGAATGAGTGAACTAGCAGTGAAATGAGTACAAGTACCTAACCCTAGAATTGTGTACCCCCTATAGGCTAACCCACTGCAGCCTAAACAAGTACATGTTGAGAAGAATTAGGCAAAAAAGAGAGGACTGAACTAGCAAGAATGGGGATACAAATAGCAAACCCTAGAAGGGTTGTACTCGCTACAGAGCACCCCACTACAGGCTAGAGCATAATATTCTGACAGTACAACACATATAATGTTTGACACACCCCCATAGGCAAAGTGGGGGAGAGCAAGGGGTCACAAGACCAGTCAAAGCAAAGCAAAACAAGCTCAGGGTGGATCTCAAGGATACCACACAAATTCCGAGCACAAGCTAGTGGTCACAAGACCAGTTCACATGCAGGTTGATAATATAACAAGAGAAACAGTGATAACAACCTAGCAAGTGTAAACATGCAGGCATATATATAAAGATCACAGTACAAGCAGAGTCAAGAAGTAAGCAAGTGGGGTCCAGCAGGCACAAGGCCTAGAAGAGTACAGAAACGCTGATGGTCACAAGGCTGAAGCGCCTTGGTGAACACATCCGCAAGGTTGGCCTCAGTGGCCACGTAACGCAGACGAAGCTGACCACGCTGCTGCAGCTCTCGAGCAAGGAAGTACCGCAGGGCGATGTGCTTCGTTCTGTGCTCCAGTCTGTGCTCCTCACACAAGGCAATGGCAGCCTGGTTGTCAACGTACAGCACTGGAGGAGAACGAGGCCGCTCTCCCAAGTCGGTCAGCAGGTAGGTCAGCCAGCGTAGCTCCTGGGCAGCCATGGCTGTGGCGTAGATCTCAGCCTCACAACTGGAGCTGAGAACAGAAGAAGAGCGTGTAGAACGCCAAGAAACTGAGCCGGAGCCAAGGCTGAAGGTGTAACCCTGAGACGACCGCTGAGTAGCCTGGTCGTCCGCCCAAGAAGCGTCTGAGTGTCCAGTAAGTACAACTCGGTCTCGCCCTCCAAGCACTAGCCCCATGCCCGACGTACTGCACAAGTAGCGCAACACCCTCTTAGCGGCATCCATGTGCTCCTTCCTGTGACGGCCAGGAGCGACATAGCGCGCAAGGATGCTAAGAGGGTATGCAAGGTCAGGTCGAGTGCAGGTCATCAGGTACATGAGGCAGCCCACAAGCTCTGGATACGGGCCACTCGGCTCTACGGACTCATCCGAAGGCAGAGCTGAGAGCGAATGACCGGTAGGCAGAGGAGTGGACTGAGGCGAGGAGTACGTGAAGCGGAAGCGCTGAAGGATCTGCTGCACCATGTGTGACTGAGTCAAGGTGATGGTGCGCCATGCTCTGTCCCGGGTGATCCGCAAGCCAAGATAGCTTGTCAGTTCACCCAGGTCTGTGCACGTGTGTCTCCTCTACAGCTCCGACTTCACGTGGGCGAGTGCCGCGGTGTCAGCAGTGGCAAAGACCAAGTCGTCGACGTACACGAGGATGTAGAACGGCGGCAGTGAGGTGTCTGTGCGTAGAAACAGTGACGGGTCAGCAGTAGAGGGAGCGAACCCAAGAGCCGCAAGTGTCGTCCTCAGTGTGTCGTGCCACTCACGTGGTGCCTGGCGGAGACCGTAGACCGGCCGCTGAAGCCTCCACTGGGTACCAGGAGGAACCGACCCAGTGAAGCCAGGAGGGCGGCGCAGCCAGATCTCCTCGTGCAGGCTGCCCTGCAAGAAAGCAGTGCTGAAGTCAAGCGAGTGAAGCTCGTAGTCGCGCTGAGCGGCTATGTGCAGCAGCACCCGAAGAGTGGTCATCTTCGGGGTGGGGGAGAAGGTATGGAAGAAGTCAACTCCCTCTCGCTGACTGAAGCCTCGAGCCACGTAGCGCGCCTTGAAGACCGGAGGAGAACCCGGTGGCCGCTTCACCCTGAAAATCCACATGCCACTGACGATGTTCGCCCCAGGTGGGGGAACCTCGTCGACGTAGGTGCGTGTGGACTTCCAGGAAGCCATCTCTGCGTCCATGGCTGTCTGCCACTGAGAGGAGTAGGGACCCGCCATCGCCTCAGCGTAAGTGCGCGGGGTCGGGATGTCTGGTGCATCCGGGTCTCCCTCAGGGGCAACTAGCATGGACACGAGGTGGGGTAAAGCAGCAGCAAAGCACTGGAACTCCTCCTGTCTGTCCTCAAGGACGTCCGTGCCAAGAGCACACTCACCCCCGACGGACGGAGGACAGACAGACTCAGACTCAGACTCAGCAACAAGGCTAGTGGCGTAGTCTAGACGACACCGGGCAGCAAAGTCTATCAACTCAGCGACCAGAGCAGACGCAGAAGAGGACTCAAAGGTAGGGTCAGTGACAACAGTAGCGAGGAGACGGGTGACAGTGGGACTGGCAGCACGACGGGAGTCAGACTCCGGATCAGGAAGAGTAGGCAGAGAGGACGCAGGAGGAGACGGCAGCGGAACACGCTGAGGAGCAGTGGAGGGACGCAGAGTCATGTAGTGAGTGCCAGGGACAGGAGGAGGACGCTCACGTGGGACACGACGACCAGTGCGAGCAGTACGAACAGGCGACGCAGGACGAGACTCAGGCTCACGACGCTCTGTAAGACCTCCCGTGGGACCAGTGTAAGGAGAGGGAGCAGGGAGAGGCGAGGCAGGCGGGAACTGTGACTGTGACTGGACAGGCGGAGGACACTCTACGGAGGAAGGAGGACAAGGAGGAGGAGCCTGACCAAGAACCTGCTGAAGAAGTGGTACGAAGTACGGTCGCGGTCGCGTAGCGTCTCCAGAACCAGCAGGGACACCAGCGACAGGGTCCTCAGCACCAGCAGCAGCTCCAACGTCCGGGTCCTCAGCACCAGCAGCAGCTCCACCGCTCGGGTCCTCAGCACCAGCAGCAGCTCCACCGTCCGGGTGCTCAGCTCCAGCAGTAGCTCCAACGCCCGGGTCCTCAGCACCAGCAGCAGCGCCACCGCTCGGGTCCTCAGCACCAGCAGCAGCTCCACCGTCCGGGTCCTCAGCTCCAGCAGTAGCGCCAACGCCCGGGTCCTCAGCACCAGCAGCCGCGCCACCGCTCGGGTCCGCAGCACCAGCAGCAGCTCCAACGCCCGGGTCCTCAGCACCAGCAGCAGCGCCACCCCCAGGGTCCGCAGCACCAGGAGCACCACTCCGAAGACTGCAGCGCCGCGTGTACCACTCTCGGATCTGCTGAATGGGGGGGAGCTCCTGGGCAGGAGGGGAAGTACTGGTGCGAGCTCCAGTAGCACCTCTCCGGAGGCGGCAGTACTGTAGGTACCTCTCCTGCAGCTGCCGGGAGGAGAGGGCTCCTCCAGGTGTAGCACGCTCAGGCTCAGCACCCCCAGACTCAGCACCCCCAGGCTCAGCACCCCCAGGCTCAGTACCTCCAGGCTCAGCACCCCCAGGCTCCGCACCTCCAGGCTCCGCACCCCCAGGCTCCGCACCCCCAGGCTCCGCACCCCCAGGCTCAGTACCCTCAGACTCCTCACGGTCAGGCTCAGCACCCCCAGCAGGACGAGAGTCAACAGCTACCTCGACAGGCTCAACCGGGTCTACCTGGGACACACCTGAGGGAGCGGCACCCTGAGGGGGGAGGGGGTCTGGTACCTCAGCACCTGGAGCGAGGAAGAGAGGCGGGGGGGGGAGCGGGGCAGTGCGGTAGGGGAAGAGGCGGTAGTAGGGGACGGACTCGTCAAAAGTGACGTCCTGAGAGGCCAGGACACGCCGCGAGGTGGGGTGGTAGAACTGCCAACCAGGCGCGTCCGGGACAAAGCCAAGGAAGACACAGGGGACAGCTCGACGGGAGAGCTTGTCCGCGGACGTATCGCGAACAAAAGCTCGAGATCCCCAGACCCGAAAACGCGACGCATCGCCAGCCTCTCCCGTCCAACGCAGTGTCGGAGAAGTCTCCGGTAAGGAGACACGGGGCCAGAGGTTGAGCTGATGCGCAGCGTATCGGACTGCAAACGGCCACAGAAAGTGGGGGGCAGCCGCATGAACCAAGGAGGTACGAGCGACCTCCATGACCAAGCCAATGCGGCGCTCAGCAACCCCATTCTGCTGTGGAGAGGCCGGAAGCGTGAACGACTGCTCAATGCCCTCCTGCTGACAGAAGGCCTCCAAGAGGCCAGAGGAAAACTCCCCACCTCTGTCAGAGTGCAGACGCAGGATAGGGAAGTCGGAGCGGAAACGCTCACTGAGCTGGAGACGAGATCTGCGGATCCAGGGGATCAAGACATCAGGGACGTCACCCTTGGTGCGCAAGGGGAAGACCGTGGTGTAGCGCGAGAAGTCGTCAACAACAATCAGGAAGTACCTCTCCTGATCCTGACCACGGACGCGGGCTGGGCCCCACACGTCCATGTGGAGCGTCTGCAAAGGAGCAGTCGTCGGGGGGAAGGAGGAGGAGTGAGGAGCGGCGCGCTGCCGCCCCTCGACACAGGGAAGACAGGGAGGAGCAGGCGAGGGTGGGAGGGGAGGGAGAACCCTGGGAAGACCAGCAACAAGGTCCCGTTTGTGCATGGCCCGAAGGCGCTGCACAGACGGGTGACCAAGGCGGTGGTGCCAGAGGACAGTCTCATGCGCCAGAGAGCGACACGAGCAGGGGGCGGACAGCTGACCTGACGCAGACGCAGACGCGGACGCAGCTACCTGAGGGGACTCAGTGGTCAGTGTGTACAGGTCCGACCCCGGCTGCCGAGTGAAGGTAGCCAGGTGACGGCCCGTCCGAGCACACGTGCAGTGGGTCACGCGCTCGTAAGCAGGGGTGAACTGGTGAACACCCCCGTCCTGGAGCGCACTACCTGCCACCAAGTTCGTAGAGAACGAGGGGAGGTAGAGGCCTGACAGTGTGCCTGACGGGACCGCAGGACAAGGAAGGACAGTGGAGGAGGTCGCAACGACCGGACCCCCAGAGGGGTCAGCGAGGGAGACAGCAACTGGCCGAGCAAGCGGCTCAAGGACAGTGCGGTCACGAAAGAAACAGCGAGAAGCACCTGAGTCCAGTGTGAAGGTGTGCAGTGCTGCAGTCGACTCAGTACCAGAGGGCACGGACTCACTAGCACCTAGAGCAGCAGCCTCACCAGGACCTGGGGCAGCAGACTCACTAGCACCTAGAGCGGCAGCCGGACTGGTCTGAATGCCCGGGTCGGGCGGAACACGCAAGTACTGAGCACCCTCTCCACTAGTAAACATCGCATACATGGCAGTGAGAATAGCATCAAAGTCTAAAGCCCAGATATCAACTCCCTTCTTCTCCAGATCAGCCCAGTGGGGCAGGTCAGTGGCATCAGGAAACTGGGCACGCCACGCGTCAGTAAGGCGCGCGAAACAGCGCTGTGTGGGATGCGGCCTCCCACACTGCTGGCCAGTGCGGTCACCAGTGCGAATGACGTACGTGCAGGTAAAGCCACGCTGCGCATACCACTCACGGGCGGCCTGAAGCGACGGGGCGGGCTGCTGACTCTGTCCACCGCCAGCGCCTCCACGACCACCACCGCCGCCGCCACCGCCCCGGCCACCTCCACCCCTGCCGCCGCCACGACCACCTCCGCCTCCGCTGCCGCCTCCGCCCCTGCCACCGCTCCCGCCGCTGCTGTCACCACCCCCACTGCCGCCACTAGCCTCTCCAGTCCCACCGCCACCCCCACCGCCACCACTCCCGCCTCCCCCGCCACCACCTCCACCCTTGCCCCCTTTGCCCCTGCGGCGCCCGCTCGGAGCAGACGCAGCCCCGACCTTCTCAGCACCAAGGAGGTCGACAGCAGCAGCAGAGGCGACAGAGGGGAGGAGAGGGGAAGGGGAACACCCCTCAAAGAACGGGGTGCGGGGGTCGCCACGAGAGGTGCCTACAGCGACGATGCTCGCCTCAGCTGCAAGCAATTCCTTCTCGAGGAGGGCAATGGTGAGCTCAGTGGGAGAGCGAGCGAGGAAGTGATCCCTGACTGCGCGCAGAGAGTCAGGGAGGCGGGTGACGATGTGGTAGAGTGTGATCCAGAGCGGGGGGGGGTTGGTGGCAAGGAACTCGTCAGGCATAGCAGCGCGAAAGCGGGCCTCACTGGTCCTGAGGTGGGTGATGAGGTCAGCGACTGTGCTGAAGGAGGCCAGGTCGGGGAACAGGTATGGGAGGGTGAGGCGGCCTAGTGCGGCAGAGGCAGGTGAGGAGTAACGAGCAACGACAGCAGTGTACAGGTCCTTAGCAGTCTTGTGCTGGCCAAAGTGCTCGCGCTCATCTAGTGGCAGGGAGTTGCGAATAGCGAAGCGAGCGTGGGCGTCACGAGTCTGCCACTGTGAGCGCTGAGTGCTGTCTACGAGGAGGGGCAGTAGTGTGACCGAGGGCATGTTCGTACAGCGAAATATCCTCCTTGGCAGTGAGCTGTAGGAAGAGGTGCAGGTCATCTAGCCAGGTGTCAAATTTCACTGGGCGGCCCTCAGCATCGAAAGCAAGTACGGGAGGACTGGCCATAGTGGCAGCAGTAGTTGCAGTAGGAACAGTAGTAGTAGCCGTAGAAGAAATAGGAGGAGCAGCAGTATCGACGGGGCTGCTGGTACGGGCGGCGCGGCTCGGTCTGACGGCGCGGCTCGGTTCAGGTAGGGCGGCGCGGCTCGGTTCGGTTGCGCGGAGCTGTTAAGCGGGGCTCGACGGGGCCGAGGGGCCGCTAAGCGGGGCGCAGGAGGGTCGCGGGGCCGTGAGGTGGCGGGCGACGGGGCCACGGGGCCGCTAAACGGGGTGCGCGCGGGGCCGCGGGGCCTCTAGTTGAGGGTCGACGGGGCCGCGGGGCCGCTAAACGGGGTGCGCGCGGGGCCGCGGGGCCTCTAGGTGTGGGGCGACGGGGCCGCGGGGCCGCTAAACGGGGTGCGCGCGGGGTCGACGGGGCCAGGCGGGCCGGAATCGGGGCGCGCGCGGGTGCGACGGGGCCACTAAGGGGCAGCGTGCGGGGTCGACGGGGCCTTAAGGGGCCGTACACGAGGGCGCACGAGGGCGCTGAGGGGGAGGCGCTAACGCAGCACTCCGACAGTAGGTAGGAAGTAGGTAGTAGAGGTGGGCCCGGAAAAAAAACTTAGGTCCTAGCGAAGGACCTGCTCTGAAACCATGTTAGAATAACTGAACGAGGAATGAGTGAACTAGCAGTGAAATGAGTACAAGTACCTAACCCTAGAATTGTGTACCCCCTATAGGCTAACCCACTGCAGCCTAAACAAGCACAACACATATAATGTTTGACAATCCGTCTTTATCCGTCTTTTTTGCGGATATCCAAAATCCGGGTATCTCTTCGGATATCCGTCTTTTCTGCGGATATCTAAAATCCAAATATCTGTTCGGATATCCAAAATCGAGATATCTGTTCGGATATCCGTCTTTTCTGCGTATATTCAAAATCCGTATATCCGTTCGGATATCCGTCTTTTCTGCGGATATTCAAAATACGTATATCCGTTTGGATATCCAAAATCCGGATATCCGCTCGGATATCCGTCTTTTCTGCGGATATCCAAAATCCGGATATCCGTTCGGATATCCAAAATCCATATATCCGCTCGAATATCTGTCTTTTCTGCGGATATCCAAAATCTGGATATCCGTCTTTTCAGCCGATATCCTCCGGATATCCGTACGGATATCCAACATCCGGATATGCGTTAGGATATCCGTCTTTTCTGCGGATATCCAAAATCTGGATATCCGTTCGGATATCCAAAATCTAGACATCCGTTCGGATATGTGTCTTTTCTGCGGATATTCAAAATCCAGATATCCGTTCGGATATCCAAAATCTGGATATCCGTCTTTTCTGCGGATATCCAAAATCAGGATATCCGTTCTTATATCCGTCTTTTCTGTGGATATCCAAAATCCGGATATCCGTTCGGATATCCGTCTTTTCTGCGGATATCTGTCATTTCTGCGGATACCCAAACCCGTCTTTTCTGCGGATATCCAAAATCCGGATATCTGTTAGGATAATCCAAAATCCAGATATCCGCTAAGATATCCAACAGCATCACCTCGCCCCTCAACGCCCTCGTCAGCAGCACCATCAGATTTCTCAACCCCGACCAACTCACCCCCCTCACCTGCGCCCCCCTCACTAGCACCCCCCTCACTTGCACCCCCCTCACTTGCAACCCCCTCACTTGCACCCCCCTCACTTGCACCCCCCTCATGTGCACCCCCCTCACTTGCACCCTCCTCATGTGCACCCCCCTCACCAGCACCTCCTCCACCCCACCCTCCCTCCTCGCCCGTGTTCCCTAATGCCACCTCTTCCCTCGGAGGCATCTTTGTGTGCGCTTCTCGCCTGCCCACAGCAGCATCATCCCTCTCATCCGCACTCAGCTAACTCCCCCTCCCTGCCAGCACCCTGCCCTACGCCGCTGCTGCCACCTCCACCTCCTCTCTCTCAGGTGTCTCTTTTTCCGCGAATGAAGAGCGCCCGCTGCACATCCTGCACATGTGCGGATCCTTCCGCGTTTTGGGGGTGGTAGCGCTCATTCCGAGCGTTTTTCTTCCAACAGATCACGTGGCTGCGCTTGTCTGGTCCTCTTGCCAAGCCAACAAGGGCGTGGGAGGGTTGCGAGCATCATCGGTCATCGGCGCTCGCGAATGAAGAGCGCCCGCTGCACTTCCTGCACGAATGCGGATCCTTCCGCATTTTGGGGGTGAAAGCGCTCGTTCCGAGCGTTTTTCTTCCGCCGGGTCATGTGGCTGCGCTTGTCTGGTCCTCTTGCCAAGCCAGCAAGGGCGTGGGAGGGTTGCGAGCATCATCGATCATCGGCGCTCGCGAATGAAGAGCGCCCGCTGCACTTCCTGCACATGTGCGGATCCTTCCGCGTTTTGGGGGTGGTAGCGCTCATTCCGAGCGTTTTTCTATTGCCGGGTCACGTGGCTGCGCTTCTCTGGTCCTCTTGCCAAGCCAGCAAGGGCGTAGGAGGGTTGCGAGCATCATCGGTCATCGGCGCTCACGAATGAAGAGCGCCCGCTGCACTTCCTGCACATGTGTGGATCCTTCCGCGTTTTGGGGTTTGTAGCGCTCATTCCGAGCGTTTTTCTTCCAACAGATCACGTGGCTGCACTAGTGTGGTCCTCTTGTCAAGCCAGCTAGGGCGTGGGAGGGTTGCGAGCATCATCGGTCATCGGCGCTTGCAAATGAAGAGCGCCCGCTGCACTTCCTGCACGAATGCGGATCCTTCAGCATTTTGGGGGTAGAAGCGCTCATTCCAAGCGTTTTTCTTCCGCCAAGTCACGTGGCTGCGCTTGTCTAGTCCTCTTGCCAAGCCAGCAAGGGCGTGGGAGGGTTGTGAGCATCATCGGTCATCGGCGCTCGCGAATGAAGAGCGCCCGCTGCACTTCCTGCACATGTGCGGATCCTTCCGCGTTTTGGGGGTGGTAGCGCTCATTCCGAGCGTTTTTCTTCCAACAGATCACGTGGCTGCGCTTGTCTGGTCCTCTTGCCAAGCCAACAAGGGCGTGGGAGGGTTGCGAGCATCATCGGTCATCGGCGCTCGCGAATGAAGAGCGCCCGCTGCACTTCCTGCACGAATGCGGATCCTACCGCATTTTGTGGGTGAAAGCGCTCGTTCCGAGCGTTTTTCTTCCGCTGGGTCACGTGGCTGCGCTTGTCTGGTCCTCTTGCCAAGCCAGCAAGGGCGTGGGAGGGTTGCGAGCATCATCGGTCATCGGCGCTCGCGAATGAAGAGCGCCCGCTGCACTTCCTGCACATGTGCGGATCCTTCCGCGTTTTGGGGATGAAAGCGCTCGTTCCGAGCGTTTTTCTTCCGCCGGGTCATGTGGCTGCGCTTGTCTGGTCCTCTTGCCAAGCCAGCAAGGGCGTGGGAGGGTTGCGAGCATCATCGGTCATCGGCGCTCGCGAATGAAGAGCGCCTGCTGCACTTCCTGCACATGTGCGGATCCTTCCGCGTTTTGGGGTTGGGAGCGCTCATTCCGAGCGTTTTTCTTCCAACAGATCACGTGGCTGCACTTTTCTGGTCCTCTTGCCAAGCCAGCAAGGGCGTGGGAGGGTTGCGAGCATCATCGGTCATCGGCGCTCGCAAATGAAGAGCGCCCGCTGCACTTCCTGCACGAATGCGGATCCTTCAGCATTTTGGGGGTAGAAGCGCTCATTCCAAGCGTTTTTCTTCTTCCGGTTCACGTGGCTAAGCTTGTTTGGTCCTCTTGCCAAGCCAGCAAGGGCGTGGGAGGGTTGCGAGCATCATCGGTCATCGGCGCTCGCGAATGAAGAGCGCCTGCTGCACTTCCTGCACATGTGCGGATCCTTCCGCATTTTGGGGGTAGAAGCGCTCATTCCAAGCGTTTTTCTTCCGCCAAGTCACGTGGCTGCACTTGTCTGGTCCTCTTGCCAAGCCAGCAAGGGCGTGGGAGGGTTGAGAGCATCATCGGTCATCGGCGCTCGCGAATGAAGAGCGCCCGCTGTGTCGAAATCAACAGGCAGGAATGACTGTACTAGCACAAAGTTGGATACAAGTAGGAAACCCTAATCTAGTGTACCCCCTAAGGTGTAACCCACTACAGCCTACAATCATATAAACATATAATGTTTGACACACCCCCATAGGCGCAGTGGGAGACAACCACAAGGTCACGAGACCAGTCAAAGCAAAGAAAGGCAAGCTCAGGGTGGATCTCAAGGATTCCACACAAATTCCGAGCACAAGCAAGCGGTCACAAGACCAGTCCACATGCAGGTTTATAATAGAGCAAGAGATACAGTGATCACAACCTAGCAAGAGTGAACATGCAGGTATACATATAGATATAGTGATCACAGTACAAGCAAGGTCAAGAAGTAAGCAAATGAGGTCCAGTAGGCACAAGGCCTAGCAGAGTGCAGAAGCGCTGATGGTCACAAGGCTGAAGCGCCTTGGTGAACACATCAGCAGTGTTGGCCTCAGTGGCCACGTGACGAATACAAAGCTGACCGCGCTGCTGCAGCTCTCGAGCAAGGAAGTACCGCAGGGCGATGTGCTTCGTTCTGTGCTCCAGTCTGTGCTCCTCACACAAGGCAATGGCAGCC